CAGTTTTATCTGGTTGTGGCTGCTCATTAACTTACAACTGGGCTTCCGTTTTGGATTTCCTTTATTTAATGTGTCCATAATCTGTGCTGTTCTGCTCTGTATTGTGTCTGCAGGAAATGTCCTTTTCCTTGTGGCCCCCAAAGAGTAATAGCAGATCCTTTCGCCCCTATGGGCTTGGGCCCGTGTGCAGATGCATAGCATTTGATGCTGGCAGTCTGCCCGTTTTTCACTTTATTGAACTGAAAGTGAGATCTTGAAAGTCCCTTGTTTTTGTGTGTGCGTCAGGTTTAACATGCTTTGACTAAAATACACAGTGACATTTTTCTTTCTTTAATATATAATTATTTAAATCGTGGTATGATGCTGCCAGTTGTTTAATAATTTAAGTCTCAGAAACCTTTAATCTCATTCTTAGCCTGAAGATTGGCTTAGAAATTAATCTTTTACACGCTATCTGTGGGAAAAGCTGACACAGGAAAAGCCCAGCGTCTAGTTTTGGACAAAAACAATCCTGTTAGGCTGTACTCTGAGCCTAATTACGTCTTGACCTGGACACGCCAGAGTGAAGGCAATTGTTTCTTGGTGTCTGTTCAACTCATCCTCTGAGCCGTCAGGAAGATTAGGGCCATTTCCTGGCTTTCTTGCTCCTCATTGTCTTGGTTTTGTCCTTGTCAGCACTTAATACGCCTTAAACGGTAGTCTTCAGTCGTAGCAGCACAGACGAGGCTGTTAAAATGAGGATCTACAAAAAATGTAAGCAGAAACTCTACAGGAAATGTAACATGGGTCTAGGATTTTACATTCCCTCTTTTCTTCATTTCACATTCCCATTCGAGTCGAGCTGTAGTCTGTAGGTTTTTAATTCTCTTCATTGAGCGGTTGAACAGTTGTCGTTTCAGCATCTGTTGCTGGCTGTGGATGGAGAAATGGAGAGCACTGTTTGACAAGCAACCAAGAGCAAACTGTTTTCAAATTCATTAGACAGTACAAAAAGCATTAATGTGTACAAAATAGGGTGCGATGTTGAGAAAAAAAGAAAAAGAAATCTCAGTATTTTGGGGGCTTTTGTCAGTAGTAGTTGAAACACTACAGGTCAAAAGTTTGCTATAAGTCTTTTTTTTTTTATTTTTTTTTTTTATGTCTCACACAGACTGCATTTATTTGATCAAAAATACAGTAAAACAGTACAATTGTGAAATATCATTACAATTTAAAATAGCAGTTTTCTACTTTAATATATTTTAAAATGTAATGTATTCCTGTGGTGACAAGGCTGAATTTTCAGCAGCCATTACTTACGGTCTTTTGCGGTCATACTCATATTTGGGAAAAACAGCACTAGTGTGATGTTGCAAAACTATATATGCAAAAACTAATACAGATGCATTTTTTGACCTCATATATTGAATGGGGTTTTTCAATTTTTCGAATGCAGTCATATAGTTACATTCTAATAGGCTATATAATGCAGTG